AGTGAATTAGTCGAGCTTTGTGCGCTCATGCTTGCACTACCGGGAATGCGCTTCTTCTTTAAGCGATTCGGCTGCCGATGTTCTCTCAGGTCATAATCAGGTGGCGGTGACTTCGTGAAGAAACTTGAAAGCTTACGCTCACGACTCGGAGTGACAACCTGTGGGGGTAAAGTGACCGGGGGTGAGACGACCGTGTTGAGATTATCATGTGGCCTAGTAGTTTCGTTGATGACAAGACGTTCAGCAGTCGCCAAAGGCAATGGGCCATGGGTTGACGTGTGCACATATACATTGCCTGGAGTCAATGATGCGGTTGATTGACTAGAGATGCGCTGCTCAGGACGCTGCTCAGAGGTCTTTTCAGGGACTGGCCGAGGAGCCGGATGAGACACCGACTCAGGAATCGGCTCAGGCTGCTCAGGCTCTTCGCGCACTGATGGCGTTCGACTATTCGACTGAGAACTCTGATGAGAAACAGAGAGGCCGGAAGGGTTGTTCGAGCCAGTGTCATTGGCTCGTGCATAACGAGCGGAGGTCAAAACGGGGCCCATCTTTGAGGGTAGGGTGTTGCTTCGGTGGACACCACCGCCACCACCACCACCAGTGATTGAGGTGGGAGTTACGGGGCTTTGGGTGTTGTTAGAATGGCGGGAGTTGCGCGACGAAACGGAGACATTTCGACGCATACTGTCCAACTTGCGATGGCTTTCCGTGTTCGCGCTAGCATTGGATACCGATCGTCGAACGGTCGGATGAGGTCGTGCAATACCTGCCTCAACCTCTTTCACGGTCTGCTCATCGGCAGCCGTGCCGCTCATTCCGAACAGAAAGTGGTCCTGGTTCTCAATCAAGAAGATCAACACATCCTGACTCAACTTGTATTCCTCCGGCGACATATCATGCTGCGGGTGGGACAGCATGCCTGGTTGGAAGATCGCGGACAGATTAGCAGACGGCATACGATTCTGATCGGACTTTGAGGCGAAAACCGCGAGAAGATCGAGGATATAGAGAAGGAGCTGCTTGTTCAATGGGGGCAGCTCGATGATGAGGTTCTGGTATGTCGAAACAGCCTTTGCGTGGTCGAACTTATCGGCGTCGGTTGTGTTCTTGCCTTCTAGGACCTGTCGTTGGTAGATCCGCAGAGGTTCACGGAAGCGCTCATAAAACTCCAATGGTACGATCGGTTCGGGCAGCTGGTTCAGGTATCGGCGAAGTACGTTTGCTGCATCGTGGACGGTGTATCCGGACCAATCGAGTCCTTTGCCATATCGCTCGGGGGAATCAAAGACCTCCTGGAGGTCCTTAATACGCTTGGCTGATCCGTTAAGACGAAAAATGCCTTCCACATCCGTTGCTATCCAAAAACGTCAGCGATAACTCATCGAGTACAGCAAGGTAAATGCGAACCTTTTTCTTTTAGAAACACTCCACACTTTGCAACAACAATCGGCACGTATCCATAAATGAAGCTCTCGCCGTGGTCGTTGGTCAAGGAGATTGCCACATTGGCATACTTGATGCTGACATTGAGCGCAATCCCGAAGATGCCGCGGGGTGCCTCCTCTGCGATAAACGGGTCAGCGTACCAGTTCAAGAAACGATAAAGAACCTAAACAAATCAATTGTAAAGCGAGCAAAGTCCCCAGCTCCGACATGTTGAACTGCAACAACCATCTCCTGTGCGACGAGGGGAGTATACCCCGAGGCTCAGGGGGGTTGCGAACCGCCGCGAGCCGGAGTAGCTCAGGAAATATTTACGCAATTGCCTGTATTCTGATATCGCATTCACCAGATATGGCTTACCTTTCAATTCATCTTTTCTGGTGCTCCGTTTGAACTGCTTCCACCATGAAGCTAAATCTCGCTTTGATGGTGGGGAGTTGGCGCTGACCGGATCGGGTGAGGTGGGGAGAGGGTGAACGGGGTCAGCACCCGGGTGCGACTTGCCGACCGTCACCATGGCGAGTCCGGAGGACGACTCGAGATAGAATCGAAGATACTGGGAAGCGAAAAAGCGCAAAGAGGTGGGTGTGCCGATCGAGGGATTCGGGAAAGTTGAAGGGGCCCTGCGTCACCGCCCTCGTGTGGGAAATCCTGGGGCTGGGCCCAAAATAGCACAGGCACGTTACCGAGGCGAAGCAGAACAGAGATGGGATTTGAGAATAAGAACCTGAGAACAAAGGAGTTGAGAAGAAAAGGAATAGGGGATGTGAGTATGTAAGTCTGATGGATGAAGGGATGCGAAAGGGCTAAGAGGTCAGGGTTTCGAAAGGGTCAATGGGGGGGGGGGGCACGAGCCAAGAGCCGAACACATATGACAGAGTTTATTCTCTGTATTTTAATGACAGGGACTTACTGATCAGGGGGATTTTCATTCTTTTTGCGAACATAAGACTATGAATAGCACAATCTAACCAAGGTTCCCGGGACAAGTTAAAGATGGGTCAGGGTCACCTGTCATATAGAATTGGATCATTGTATGGAGTACAGGTACGCAATATTCTAGGGATCTGGGAATTCTCTCTCATTTGCTACATAGAAACACCCAGATGAAGTAAAATACAGATCTCCCAATACTAGCTTATTGTAGAATTTCTAGAATTTCTAGAATTACGAGCATAAATGTGAAGAACCGGCCCCGCCTGCGAGTAGTCTGGAACCAACGGGTCTTGGATTGTCTGGAACGTGTCTGGACCCTTTCAGGAATAATTTTACTGGAGATCAGTCGCTTATATCGGGTTTCATATTTTCCGGACCAGGTACCGATTTTCTTTTTTTCTAGTTTTTCTACTCGCTTGACCTTTTGAGTTAGCGTGACCAATAAAGTCGACGGAGTATACATTTAGAGCATATCCATTGTCACTTGATCTATGGAAATGGTGGCTTAGGTACAGGGTACGAGGCATCATATTTACCCTTGGGTCTGTGCACTATTTCCATCCTATTTAGAGATCGTTTCAGAATGCATGCTCTAGTTACATGTAGTTTTTGACATCTTATACGTCATCTGGATCACCGAAAAGTGTAAATAACACGATTAAACCAGATAATCTTTCAGGCCCTTGGTTGTATCTTTCTATCTATGGCTCACCCCTTGGACTAGTCATAAGTCATTGAGGTGGGATTGGCTGTCCATAGCGTCATGAAGTGAGGTTGGAATATCGGTGACGTTGAGATATCACGTGGACTGTAACATCGAGTTTTGGCATATTTATCCGATCGGAGAAACTATCTTGCGGGACAGTAGGTAGAACTGTAGAGCTAACAAAGCATCATGACAATACACCGATCTAGCTGGTACAATTTCTATGAAGATTGATCTCCCACAGGCCTGGATTTTAGGTGAACTGTAAAATTGCTGAAGTGATAGGCCCTATGGGCTATACAACTACCAAGAGAGGAGATGTTGATTAATTGATGGCCTAGTAGCTAAGGCATAACATTTTGAGTCGCGTGGGCTATTATTTATCCGGCACCCGAGAAGCTCAGAACCAGCGGAGCTGACAGCCAACAGAATGACTTGTTGAAAGCATCTTACCATCAAAACATCTTGATCTCATTCATCTATCACAATGGAAGGGTAAGTACCTCCGTTGAACCCTCTTTACTTTTTTTGCTATGTTTTCTGTCCCATTGTTCCTGAGGGTCATCCTATGAGCAAGCCGCTAATACTCAAGTCACAGACTTAACGCAGCGGAACAGCGCGAGTTCGCCTCCCGCATGGAGCGGAAGCAGATGAAGGAGTTCATGACTGTATGTATCTCCTAGTTTCATTATTGAAGATTGCCCTTCCCATGATCCTCCTTGCCATCAACCACCTGTGTTCTCCCACGCTCAAGATCTAACATCTTTTCTTTCAGATGTACTCCAAGATGGTCCAGCGCTGCTTTGATGACTGTGTCAACGACTTCACCACCAAGTCCCTCATCAACCGCGAGGAGACTTGCATCATGCGCTGTGTCGACAAGAACCTCAAGAGCTCCGCCCGGTTGAACGAGCGCTTCCAGGAGCAGAATGCTGCCATGATGCAGAGCGGCTCCATGGGAGGAAACTAAGAGTCTATTTTGATAATAAGAAACATATTGTCGATGACTATTCTTCATTTTTGGCAACATGCATTCGATGAATTGGGTGATTGGCGAGGCGGCTCGATTGACCCGGTTGTCTCCGGCCCGACAGTGGCTTTATCTGGAGGTTTAGAGGGATGATAACATGGTCGATGACCTGTTGGCGAGGAAGCGAACAAGATCTGCTCCTTTCCGTGTACAATAGTGATTAGCACGGGAGATATCTACCTCTCCTCTCCCGGGGCTCAAAATACAAAAGACTTAACCAAATAAGGGAAATGAGATGTGGCCGTGTACGTGACCGGGCTCGCAAATCAGAGCTTAGCTTGGGTTATATTTCTCTTCTCAAACTCGAGATATATCCTTTGCTACTATCGAAGCAATGCAATTTAGCCTTGTGAAGCCCGAGGGTGCGTATTTTCTTGTTTATTCTTTTTCCTTGGCGTACACACTCGGTGTTCCAGTCAAACTCCGATTCCATGCTATAAACCGCGTTGCCGGATGGTGAATATCACTATTCTGCGACTAATGCGGTCGAGGTCGTACCGTGAGAGGTAATACTATTATATACGTATAGTGCATCCGGATATACAGGGTAGGATGTATACACTTTCAGCCTTTTCCCGCGGAGCTCGGGAGCATTCCCGATCACGCGTTTTTCTATTCGGAAATGCCTTATCGTACTGCATTTCCCCAAGTGAGGAGAAGCATATGAGGGGACTTGGAAGCTGTCCGGATCTCCAACTTCTCAAATATTTGATGCTTTATCTTTCCCCTCATTCCCGGATCCACCCCCCAACTCCTTCAAAAGCCCGTCATTTCCTCTTCTCTTCTTCCACCACCGTCGTATTCTTGATGTAAGTCCGAATTTTTTTCCTTTGGCATTCCTAGAATTGCTAACAGTGTTCGAGTTAGAAATCAACAAACACAATGGCCAGTACAGTAGGAAAGGTAAATTACTTTTTTCTTTTTCTTTTTAACTGAATAACCTTGCTAACTCGGAAATCTACAGACAATCACTTGCAAGGTAAGCTCGATCCGACCGCCCCGCATATATGACGTCGACCAGCACAGCTCGAATCTGTGAGTCATGAATATTGCTGAACAAATTGACAGGCTGCCATCGCCTGGGAAGCCGGTGCGCCTCTGTCCGTTGAGGATATTGAGGTCGCTCCCCCCAAGGCTGGTGAGGTGCGCATTAAAATCCACCACACTGGTGTCTGCCATACCGGTAAGCCCCGCCATCAACCCCGCCCTATAAAATAAATTGCCGAAAAAAATCCGATCTATCAGAGCCATGATTATTGACATCCCTCAGATGCCTACACTCTCTCCGGCAAGGACCCAGAGGGTGCCTTTCCCGTTGTCCTCGGTCACGAGGGCGCCGGTATTGTCGAGTCTATTGGCGAGGGTGTGACCTCCGTCAAGGTGGGCGACTACGTTGTCGCTCTCTAGTACGTTTTCGGCTCCGATCTCGGCGTTACGGTCCACTGACAATTGTAGCACCCCTGAATGCCGCGAGTGCAAGTTCTGCAAGTCTGGCAAGACGAACCTCTGTGGTAAAATCCGTGCTACCCAGGGTAAGGGTGTTATGCCGGATGGTACCTCCCGTTTCAAGGCCCGCGGCAAGGACCTCCTGCACTTCATGGGCACCTCCACCTTCTCCCAGTACACCGTCGTGGCCGATATCTCGGTCGTCGCGGTCACTCCTAAGATCCCTACCGATCGGTCCTGTCTGCTCGGCTGCGGTATCACCACCGGTTACGGTGCTGCTGTCGTGACTGCCAAGGTCGAGGAGGGCTGCAATGTCGCTGTCTTCGGTGTCGGCTGTGTTGGTCTGTCGGTTGTGCAGGGTGCGGTCAAGAACAAGGCCGGTATGATCATTGCTGTCGATGTCAACGATGGAAAAGAGGCCTGGGCTCGCAAGTTCGGCGCTACCCACTTCGTTAACCCCACTAAGCTCTCCGGCAAGACCATTCAGGAGCACCTGATTGAGATGACTGATGGTGGCTGTGATTATACCTTCGACTGTACTGGTAACGTCGGGGTCATGCGCGCTGCTCTCGAGGCCTGCCACAAGGGCTGGGGTGAGAGCATTATCATCGGTGTTGCTGCTGCTGGTCAGGAGATCTCCACTCGGCGTAAGTTCCCTCCGCTATTCTTCACCTCCCAGTGTATATTCTCCTTGTCTAACACATGCCACAGCATTCCAACTCGTCACAGGCCGTGTCTGGAGGGGATGTGCCTTTGGTGGTATCAAGGGTCGTACACAACTGCCCGGTCTCGTCGACGACTACCTCAACGGCGAGCTCAAGGTGGACGAGTTCATCACTCACCGCCAATCATTGGATGGTATTAACGCCGCCTTCGATCAGATGAAGGAGGGTGACTGTGTTCGTTGCGTCGTCGACATGCAATAAGGACAATAGTTTGCCAATCGATGAAAAATAACTGATGTGAAATATGACTTTAATTATTTCTTAGATTTGAGTCTTTTTAAGTAAGAGTACAATCTATGGGGGAGCTTGAAACTTTGTATGGCTGAGGTTGTCATCAAGGTCCTCAACCCCGCGGCACCTTGAGGGTGACCTACTGATGTCAGCTCTATGGATTGCCAAAAGTAAAGATATCCCTAGATCTGTCAATGAATGCAAATTGTAGGGCGATATCATGTCAATGCCGTGGTAAATCAATTGACAGCTGATTCAAACCGCATAATCATAGCATAACAAAGTCCCAGCGCCTCAAGCTGGCGGTTGTTCATGTTTGAGACCTTCTTCTCTTTGTTTCTTCCATTTCCTCTTTTTGGGTAGATCTCAAAGACTTGCAAATACGAAACTGTCTCTTGACCTAGATCAAAGCCGCGAAACAGAGTCAGACATACCTACTGCGCGGTTTATACTCCTTCTGGCGAGAGTCGGAACCCCACCATGTCCGCACCAACGAGCTACGAATGAAGACGCCAATCTCGGTTCTACTTTGGTATAACATAGCTGGCGGCCTGTGATAGGTGGTATATTGACTGAATATAGCGCCATTCATGTGCTGACGAGTCTAGGAGGGGCTGTCTTCTGTTATCAGACCCCAGTCCCAACTCCGTTCGCCGCGGCGATGCCCGCGGCGATATCTGGGAGGGGTATATAGTCCACGATATATCAGGGTGTACTGAATCAAACTGTTTCAGTCCTTCTCTACATTCAGTCTATCACTTCTGCTTTGCCTGTCTTATACTGGAGAACAAGTCTCTTCACCACCACCACTACAACCATACAACCATACCACCACACTCCAAAACAGCGCGCAATCCCCAAAAATGACAGACCCAAACCCAATCACCCTACCAGCCCCCTTCTCCACAATCCCCCGAACTCCCCTCCTGCTAGGCCCCTCACCAATCCACCCCCTCCCCCGCATAACCGCCGATCTCGCCAAAAACAACCCCCATCCACTCGTAACCATCTACGCCAAACGCGATGACCTGAACTCCGCGTACGCCTACGGTGGTAACAAAACCCGCAAACTGGAGTACCTGCTGGCCGACGCCCAAGCTCAAGGCTGCACGACCCTGGTCTCCATCGGCGGCGTGCAAAGCAACCACACGCGCCAAGTCGCCGCGGTAGCTGCGCGCTCCGGGCTGAAAGCCCGTCTCGTGCAGGAGCACTGGGTCGACTGGACGGATCCAGGCTACGAGAGCACGGGCAATATCCAGCTGTCGCGGCTGATGGGCGCGGATGTGCGGCTCGACCCGTCCGGGTTCGGCATCGAGCACAAGAACACCGCGCAGGCGGTTGTGGAGCAGGCGAAGGCGGATGGTGAGAAGCCTTACTATATCCCTGCTGGTGCGTCGGACCACCCGCTTGGTGGACTTGGGTTTGCGCGGTGGGCGTTCGAGGTTCGGCAGCAGGAGGTGGAGATGGGGGTTTTCTTTGATACGGTGCTTGTGTGTGCTGTTACCGGGTCGACTTTTGCTGGCATGATTGCTGGGTTTAAGTTGTTGGAGAGGTTGTATCCTGGGGATGCGAAGAGGAAGGTTATTGGGATTGATGCTTCGGCGACGGTTGAGGCGACTCGGGCGCAGGTTTTGCGCATTGCGAAGAATACGGCTGCGAAGATTGGGCTTAGTGCCGATGATATTACGGAGGATGATGTTATCCTTGATGATCGGTACCATGCTGGTATCTACGGTATTCCTGATCGTCAGACCTGGGATGCGATTGAGTATGCGGCGAAGATGGAGGCGTTTATTACTGACCCGGTCTATGAAGGCAAGAGCTTTGCGGGTATGATAGATATGATCCGTCGTGGGGAGATCAAGGGTGGAAATATTTTGTATGCGCACCTTGGTGGACAGTTGGCCTTGAATGCTTACTCCGACCTTGGCCGGGTTAATAAATAGACCAACGAACGAAGAGATGCATATGCTTAGAGAATGAGAATGTTACATAAATCTACGGCTTTATGAATAACTAGGAAGTATGGTTGTAGCATTGTAGCTTGTATTGTTTCAAACGAGTGACTGTAGTTGGCGCGTAAAGATGATCAAACTAGGGAAGCATGGACGACGTCCTAGAACAGCTTGTGCTCAAGGGTCATATCGGACTCTGGCTGGAGACCAACGCAGGCACGGAAGATGTTAATCAAAGCGGAGCGCTGCTTGCCCAGGGCATTGATGACAGGGGTGCCGGGAGGGGTCAGGGGAGCCTTGAGCATGTAACTGAGAATGCTCAGGACGCTGTGGAAGCCCTTGTAGTCTTCACCCTCGCTGTCGGATTGCCAGCTGATACGGGTCATCATCTCAGCGAGCACAACCAGATCGATGATCAGGGGCGAAGCCAGAAGCGAGTCCTCACAAATGTTGAACAAGCTGATGGTCTGGTGGCCACCCATGAAGATCTCAGCGTAGTACTCATCCAGAGCACGCTTGTTGTCACCGACAGCAGGCATGTACTTGATGACGACAGTGTGGTCGGGGTGCTCATCCTTCTCATAGAGAACGTGGTTGGCCGCGACCATGTCATCCACAACGTTGGACTTGGAGATCTCCTTAGAGCGGAACTGCTTCTGGGAGCTCAGGTTCTTGCCGTCGTTGTTGCCCAAGTGGTTGTAGCTGGCAATGGAGGTAAGCTTGATACCAGCGTTGATCAGGAAGTCAACGAGAGCCGACTTCATCTTGGTCTGGCCAGACTTGAAGTCATCACCGCCAATGAAAGCACGACGCTGCTCGGCCAACTGAAGGGCACCAGGGACAAAGGTGTTCTGGGGCGAGCCGTTGATGAACGGAGTGTCCTCGAGAATCGCGGCCACAGCAAACACGGTGGAAGGAGCAACCTCCAGATGACCGGCCTTGATGGAGTTTATCAGGTTGTCGGCAGTGTCGTTGACACCGGGAATGATGTCGGCGTACCGCTCAGTGTTGGCAGTCCACATGATAATCACCTTATCCAAGCCGTTCTTAGCCTTGAAGTCGCGAATATCCTTCTGGATCTGCTCGACGTGAGCCCAGCAAGCCTTGTCGCCCTCGATGACATTGTCGGCACGGTCTTCCTGGTTGGCAGCGATAAAGTCGGGGTAGTAGATACTAGGCAGCGGCTTCATCTCGGCCATCTCCTTGCGGACCTGGTTCTTGAGGGTGGGCTCCAGCACCTGAGCACGGTCCATGGACTCGGCGAGAGTGAGGCTGCTGATATCCCAACCGCCAATGGTCAGGTCGTTAGGGTGGACCATGGGGAGCAGGTCGTGGAAGGGGATGTTGATCTCCTCGCCGGTCTTAGCATCAGAGCCCAACTTGACAGTGGAGCTCATGACGATAGAACCGTAGTAGTTGGAGGTCTGCTTGCCATCGCGGGTCTCCCAGGAGATATTACGACGGTTGGCCAAGATACCAGCAGTTACGGTGGAACCGTTGTTTCCACCCCAACCGACCAGCATCATACCCACCTTGCCAACCTTGCGGTTGACCTTGAAGTTGTAGTTGGTGGCCTTGGGAGTGGCAACCAACTTGTTGTCCGCGGTGCGGGTGATCTCAGTAGTCTGATAGGCGTACTTCGACTTGATCTCGTCCTCGGTATAGACGACATTGGGGGACTGGACAGTAAAGAGGGAAGATTCTTGGCGAACCGACCCGTTCAGCGCGCCATTGGCAGCATCCGAGCTAGCGTGAGGGGCCATTGCGTTCACAGCGGGATGAATAGGCGAATTGATAGAAGTGTGTGTGATAGCGTAGCCTTAACGGATATAGGGTGCGCAGTCCGATGCTCCTCCACGGTTGGATGAGCGTCGGCCGTTGAACGGGTGGTGCCGCCTGAAGAAGCAGTTAGCAATTGCATTTCTGTATGACGATTGCCTCCTCCTAGAGGCAATAGAGAAACTCACGAGTTAAGACTTGTCGCGAAAATTGTGGCGGTTGTATGTGACCACTGTCTCGACGAGAAGTGATCTGACCTGCTGACAAGGTTTATACGAACCTAAGGTAAACGGACAAGAATAATTGAGGATAGAGAGAGAAGAGGAAGGGGAGGAAGAGAGAAGAAGAGGAAGTGGCATGATGGTGACTTTATGTGTCTCCGCCTGTCTCCGGGACCTTGTCCCGTCCCCCGGCTTCCCCCTTTTTCTTTTTTTTCCCCTTTTAGCTTCAGAGCTTCTCGTCGGCGATTAATCTTCTTATTGGTTATATCTCACCGTCTATTCAAAAGAAGTCGTTGTCGAGCCGATACCGCAGTTCTGACCTTTTCGATGTTCCCAAGGATAACACCACTTTCTTTGTTCTAAGGTACTAACCTTCTCAGATCCATAGTTACATTATGATCAGCAACTTGTTCATAAATCTCCAGTTTTTTTTTGTGCTGACAGCTACTGGGGCTCCCGAGGTCCGCTTCCGGCCTCGGGTCCCTGCCTGGCCGAGAGATTTATTTCCAAATACGAATTTCGGTGACGTGATTCAAGCGAGGTTTTACATTTTGTGATATTTGTATTTGAACTCTCAATGCAATTGCAATTGAGGTTATAAAATAACGGAGTATACGCCAGGCCACGAGCCCTCGGCTGAACCGTGCTGCACATCTGCACTGCACATCGGAGGGGTCGACTCCGCGGGGCAGAATAGCGGTCAGCCATACGCTCAACCTTGGAACGTTGCTTGGCACTGGATTTTGCTTCATTGGAAGTTTTATTTTTCTTGATAGCTGATCATTCACTTCATATTATATATGGAGTATTCTGTACTCAGAAAGGAATTGCGCAGGGTAGCGAGTAAATGGTTGCCGAGCATAGGTTGGGAGACATAGCCCTGATTAACCTAGGTAGACCTATAACCTTACCCAGAACTTTAGGATATTGTCAGATAAACTTACCCCTTTTTGTGATCCTTTGGAATAACTAGTTATTCGTATCCTACGCTGAACTTTAGGCAAACATTCCTAATTGGGTGGTTAACTATAGGCTTCTAAATCCACACCGCCTTTGTGCTAAACTCACATACTAGCAAGACAGCAGAGCAGGTACCTACAATTTGTATGAAACTCCTAACAAGAAGAATGGGTGTCCAACTTTATGTATCTCGAGGACGGAGTACGGAGTAGAATCCGCCGCGATAATGGATCTCGAGATGTTATCAGAGCCCCACAGCGGCAATACCTTCGAAATTTCAACCCTCCAGTCTATCGACGCGTCTACCTCTATCAGCCCCTCTCACAATGACCGTCAAAGCTTGTGTCACACCAGGATGTGAGGCACCCAACCTAAAGCCTGGTACTGCGGCAGAGAGTGCCAGAAGGCCGACTTCAAAGTCCACAAGCTCAGCTGTGGGCCTACAATTCCATACAACTGCTTCCTGATCAGGGCTTCTCCTGTTTCTGGTGCTGATCAGTCTGATGCGGCCTACATTGAGCCATTCCACCTCAACTCTTACGGAAATTGGGGCCTCGAAATGAAGGAGCTCAAGGAAAGGCTTGGCTGGCCGCAAGCTGATGAGGCTGGAAAATTCTATCCCGAGAAGAACATTGATACTTGGTACTACTACATGTATCAATCGGCCGGTTTCAACCTCCCCAAGAACAAGCTTGCCAGTCAATGCCTGGGACGAACCGTGAAGGGCGATGTAGCTGTCGTCAGATCCTCGCCGGATGATGTCGATGATTACGACGAGTCCTTTTCCAAAATGGACTTGGTAAAGACCATCGATTACTACAAGACTGCAAACTCTCGCCAGGTGTTCCAGCAACGAGAACGCTCGCGACTTTCGCGCAAAATGGGGATGCCAGGGGACTTTTTGAAAGGGGTTCCCCACTTCAACTTCTAGGATCAAAGACTGGTCATGTCGCTTCCCATGTATACTTGTATGATTTGTCTTTTTGTGCTGCTAAACTGTGTTGGTGCTTCTTTATGCTTCTGTCGTTACTGAATGGGCATTTCAAAAGTCTTTTACTGCAAAAACATATTCCGGTCTTCTTTGAAACAAATTGTGTCTGCAGTTCATGAAGATATCCATATTGCTGTCATTTCTGGTTGATCAAGCATTCCTGTAAATCCCACCCCCGTTTCTATTATCTAAACAAAATATCACAAATCGATTTTGCAGGGTACTGTGGTGCCTTATATGCAGCAGGTGGTTTCTTGGGGACCATCATCTACATTGGGCTGGGTGATGTGCTTGGGCATCGGCGAACTATCATACTCGCTTCAGTGACGCAAATGATCGGGGCTTTCCTCATGGCTAGTTCTTTTCTCCTTTCCCAGTTGGTAGTATCACGAGTTATCCTAGGTCTAGGCACTGGTGGCCAACTAGCCACTTGCCTGTCTGACAATCGGAAGTATCACTAGCTAGCACGCGTGGTGCCCGAGTCACCTCGTTGGCTGGTCCGGCAGGGCCAAGTCGCTGCTGCCCAGAAGGTATTGGCATCTCTGAGGGACACTGAAATCGACAGTGAGATGGCCGAGAAAAAGATACTGGATGTGGAGTTCTTCAGCTATTTCCGGTGGTAAGGGATCTTTCTGCCAGATATTAATAGTATGTTACTTCCATATGGGCCATCAAAGAATTCGTCATTGCGCATACCCTGCAACAGGAGGATTGATGCGGTTACAATTGACAGAATGAGGGCAAACCCAAATGTACTTTGCATACATATAAAAGCCGTTACTTTGATGTTGAAAGCATTATCACGGCATCAAGCTCATATCAACTGCAAAGACTTGATGTGTTTTACATTTGGGCTCGTGAGTATATATCTGGGTTGGGCAAACTACTTTATATTTCCTAATACTACTTTCGGGACCATGTCCTTCGCGAAATACCTATGTAGGTACATATGTAGTTATAAATTAGCCCTATCTTCGATAAAATCTCAGGTATCGATATTGTGGCACCGAATTAAATCCCCGCAGTGGGGAACTTCCCCGAAGTTGTGAAGAAATTCAACATCTCCGTTATGCCCGGTGCGAAGAACACCCAATGCTGGTAAGCCGCCTAAATGATCATAGCGTTTTGGAGACTTGACACTGACGATATTTAGCGATCCATGTCGTGTACTTCATCATAAATGTGATACTACCACCCCACCCCCGGGAACCAGCTCTCTAACTGTCATAGGCGACGGGATCTTGCCGCGATGCAGCCGATGCATTCGCACAGGTCGGGAATGCGCTCGAAGTAAAAAAGAGACAAAGTTCCGACAGGCAAAGGGTCGGACAACGCGCACTAAGTTTCCTAGCAACCAAGTTTGGCTTCGGCCACCACCTAGAGGTTAGATTCTCCATCCGATTTCCTTGAGATCTAGTCTGACATTAGACTGTTATTTAGTTGACTTTGTACTCGAAAACGGAAGCGGCCAAGTGGATAACTCGACTCAAACGACGCTAAATGTTCTGTCGCCTGCTGGGAGTTTGCACAGTCATGCCGACTCTATTCCTATACCGGAAAGGCTGTCTCCCGGGTCCTCATATACCGCCCCTTTGCCGCAACATGATTCCCCAAACCATGAAGTATATACGAGGAGTAGTGCTATCTCGCCAACACTGCGGGTGGTGAGCACACCCGAACGATCACACCGGCGGCCATGGCCCTTGAGAGATCCCGAGGAGGCGCGGCTGTTGCGGCATTTTGTTGAAAAGGTTGCACCGTTCGTAAGTGATGATATTTTGTTCTGTATGGTGAGCGATATTCTGACTATGATATCAAGTTCGATTGCACGGATCGCCAGCAGCATTTTGCCATCCATATCCCTTACCGAGCACGCCGTTGCGAGACGTTATTTAATGCAATATTGGCCATGTCAGCTCGTCATTTGAATCGCACAACAGGTTTTGACCCTTTTGTGTCGGATAATTACTATCAAGCATGCCTGGAGAAGTTAATTCCCGCGCTGGATGACCACGGTGTTACGATGGATGATGATTTATTGGCTGCTACTGTAATTCTACGTTTGCTGGAAGAGTTTGATGGTGGGTCGCGGATCCCTTTGCACATGAGCCAAGAAGCCTGTTAACGATGATCATAGTACCACTCGCAGGGTCCGATATTCGAGGCCACTCCTTCGGGACAAAGGCTTTCATACGGTGTCCATCAATGATGACTACAACCCCGAGTCTCCGGCAGGCTGTCTACTGGAGTGGCCTACGCCAGGAGATATACAATTCCCTTAGCCTCCATCAGGCCCCAGACATTGATTTGAGGTCCTTTGATTTGAATTTCCACTCTAACTCGCTGGGCTCTGATGCAGGTGATTGCGCATGGGCGAATCAAGCAATCACTCATTGTGCCCACGTTCTGGTATTTTGTTTTGGGAAGGGACCTCGCTCAGCGGCTGTGCATGCAGAGCTTAAGGCACATAATCAGCAATGGAGTGAGACTCGACCGAACTCTTTCGACCCTTATTTCGTGGGTGAAGATGTGGAGGTGGGAACTAAATTTCCCGATATTTGTTACAGTTGTCCCTGGCACGGTACGTATCGGCGATATACCTTGGAAACCGTTCGAGATATGAACTGAGGCTGATCGCTTGTGATGATAGCAATCGGCAATCAATATATCGATCTTGCCCAGATTCTGCTTTCTGTGCACGACCCAACTGTGCCAACAGTTGGACCTCTGCGCAGAGGCCTGATCCAGGAGGCTGATGTAAGTGTCTGAGTAACCCGTGGACCTTCCAAGGTTCCAATCTACTTTCAATACTCAAGCGGAGACTGACAGGTGGTTCAGGATCATATCCGTAGGGGGGTTTGGACATTATGTGGCGCTTCATTATCCAATGCCTCTGTGCCCCCAGCTATGGTTGTCGGGTGTATGGCCATCCATCTCTGTAAGCATCCGAAACTATTTTCAACATCTTCTAGTAAGTATAAACGAGGCTGACCAAGATCACAGGCGGCGATCGTTTCACGGACCCACATGAACAGGACCACTTGATCCAGGTTCTTATCCAAACGGATACACTTCATGGTTGGCCAACCCATGCCCTCCAGGGACAGCTTTGGGACACCTGGGGCAAGCGATGAAAGCGAGATAGGCGCTAGTGTAGGTACGCTAAGCTACATATATGTACATGTTGTTATGGTTCCTATTAAAATACCCGGGCTTGGCGCGTTAATTCTTGCAACTACCTAAATGGTAGCAGCGTAACCAACAAGGTACGTATGTTGTATGAAATATTGAAATATGGAATACGTATTTCTACTTTTGGCCAAGTTCAGGGTCTTGCATGATCCGTGGCGTTGAGTGGGAAGTAGTGGCCAGTGATAGGAGCGGGCTCGGATGGAAGAAAAAAGGGCCCCGCGGATCGCCGAGAAACCACAAATTGATTCTTTTCTTTGCCGTCTTCTAGGAATATCCTGACAACCTTTGGAATATCGCCACATCATCCCATCAGGCCTGTCTGCCAGAAGGAAGTTTGATATTGCACTGTTTATGTCGCAATCCATTCAAAATTGCAGATCGAGAGATAACCCGCCGATCGAATGATTGCAAGTCTCAAACATTCACCTGGGAAATGTGATTGGTGCTAGTGGAGGGTCAGACACTAGGTACGGACCAGTCGCATTGCAAGCTGTGTCTCTTTTCCCGTGATGTGCGTATGTTCCCTGTGCACACATTTCCTTGGGCTCCACTGGCGGTTTGGGAGAATGGATGGATTTAGTGATGTTAGTGGATATAGTGGTATAGAGACACTTTAAGGGCTATTATTACAACAACGTACTCGGGATATCTGTAAATAGAATAGGTAATATGGCACTCATATCGCACAATATCTCATATCAGTATCTTATAATAACCTCAGTACTCCGTAACTCCCAATGTAACCCCTGAAGACAGTTACGCACCCCCTTTCCGCACTGGAGACGCTAACTAGACTAGCGTGTTTTCCGGGTCTGGCACAAAGCGCAGTCCCCCATACAATCACAATCGCTAATTCTCCTTGAGATCTCAACTTCAGCTTTCTTCGGACTTGCTCTAGAATAGTCTTCCCCATATCTCGAGGGGATATGGCCCACTGAATTCGATGTTCACGATCTTTGATGGCTTCAATGAACATGGGCATGTTGCCCACCATCAAATGCTCCAATTGTGGGTGCAACGTCGAGATCTCCTCTATGGGGGATCATACCTGCATTCGAAATGAGTTTGGTAGGCTTTGAATATCCAATATGGCCCAGGGAGGTCTACATGCTGACTTTATGCTCCAGTTGCACCTATCCCATCACCGCCTTCATCGGCAGGATTCGAATCGGACCGTTTCATAGAGGCAAAGGTTGGCCGAGGGAGGCCGCCGGCTATAGACTCTTTCGCTGCAAGTATGTCTCAAATCGCCATGTGGAAAGCTGGAGGGATTCCCGACTGACCCTTACATATAGATCGAGCATTCTTGCAGCCCAGTATGCCGACACCAGTTAACAATCTCCATCTACCGCCTCTCCCTGCCAGTCCAGTACCTCCATCTACGGTGCGCCCGTATCAGCACAGTCTGACCGATGATTCGGTCTTCTCATTCCCTATGCCTGGAAACAGGTCGCCGACTGAAGTGAGGACACCGAGTCCAATGACGGATCGGACTGCGCCTAAACCACGGCCACCAGTTTCGTCGCAGGGACAAGGGCTGAGCTTGATGCCAGAGAATATACAACTTCCACCTAGTCCAATGCCACCTATGTCCCCGGATAAGAACCATCGCAGGGAGGAGTCGGCGGTGAGCAACAGCAGCTATCGGACCTCTTTGGCTAGCAGTCGCTACGGCGGTTCCACAACGAGGTCATCATCCAACAGCCTTTCGCGTGGTTTCCGGTCATTTATGGACGATACCCCACCGATGCCACTGGCACCTCTCCGCACCCCCAATCAAACCTCTTTCTCCCGTGATTCCAACCTCTCGGCGGGATCCCGGATTAGCAAGGAAGAAGCCAGTGGATTCGACTTTGGTATTCCAGAAGCCCAAAGCCCGATTACCGGACTAGATGATCTCCCGGAGGAACCTCCTTCGGCCCAATTCCAGGATAATACCAAATATGTCGCTTTCAATCCTGCGAACCTCCACCCTGCGGCAGCGACGACAGAGCTAGGTAACGATGCGCCAAGGAAAAACTCTAACGCGAGTACGACGAGTGCATTTTCCGTCACTAGTTTCGCTCGAGCTCTCGGTCTGGAAGAGCAAATGAATCACTCTGAAAGCTCTGGCTCCGATTCATCTCCTTCCGATGCCCGCAGTGGTAGTTCTATGTCCAGTGTTCCTTCCGATGTCAGCTTGAACCGACACAAACCCTCCGATCCGCTAAATCTGTCACCCTTGGTTGAAGAACTGCCCGCCCGGACTCGAGAGACTGTTCTAGAAATACCTGGCAGTATACCGAGCACCATGGGCGATGTCCCTCTTATTCCGGCTGCTTTCTTCAGCCCGGATTCACCCACCGACCCTTCAATCAACCGAGGTGGCTTGTCGTTGATTGCAGAGAGGAAACATGTGCCCCCGACTTCGCTCCCAGCACAACCCAAACAATCGATCCCCCGGAAGCCACCAGCACAACGCCCACCACCACAACGCTCATTTACAGCACCCGTACCACAAGCACAGCCACAAACACCACCGACACCCACCCGGTCCGTGACACGTTCGAAGGGAAAGTGTAAAGGCTGCAATGAGATAATCACAGGAAAATCGATATCATCCTCGGACGGACGTCTCACAGGTCGATACCATCGTGGCTGTTTCGTTTGCTTTGAGTGCCACTCTCCCTTCCAAACGGTCGATTTCTACGTCCTCAACAATAGACCTTTCTGCGCGCAACACTACCACGAGCGCAACGGGTCCCTTTGCGCCGGTTGTCACACCGGCATCGAGGGCCACTACTTGGAGACCGTCGAGCGGAACCCTGCACGGTCTGATCGCCGTCGATTCCACACCCAGTGCTTGCAATGTCGCACATGCCATATTCTTCTCAAGGGCGACTACTTCGAGTGGAATGGCGAAGTCTTCTGCGAAAGAGATGCTCGCCGAGCCGCTGCTGCCTCCCACCCGCCACCTCCTGGTCCTCCTGGTCCTCCTGGTCGTCTCCGCCCCACACTACCTCCATCTCCCCTGGCCCAGTACCCACCAGGCCCATACCATACCCCTGGTGGAAGACCCGGACCTGGCTATGGGCCTGGGCCTGGACTCCACCCCGGTGCCCCATTCCCCCCTGGTGGTGGAGGACGATTCCCCGAACGACGGACTACTAAGCTTATGATGACTTGAGCAAACCGTGCTCGTCATTCTTCTTTCTTGTGAAATCTTGCAGAACGCTGAGTTGCACATTCCTTTTTTCCGCATCTCTGCCGCGGTTTGTATTCCACTTTCTTCATTCCTTTATATATCGCGATATACCCTCTGTGCTATCTCGCCCATTTGGCTTTCGCTGGCAATGGCGTTGGTCGTTTGTTTTCCCTCTACATCAGGGCTATCCTTCATCTGCATCCATCGAAAATGCCCCATTGGCATGTTTTGTGATTTTTGGGCCATCATTCGCGGTGGTGTATTTGTTAATTCTTCATGCCGAAATGTTTCTAATGTACTCTCTATCGGCTCGGTGTTTGGTTGGCGGATGATCTCTTGTACATGATTTACAACTAGAATATGAGGACCTGTGGGATTGACGCCGAAAATGACCGCTTTTGAGGCCAGAAACGGCTGCCTTTCCACCCGCAACTTTAGACGTCCAGCGGCCCTCAACCGACCCGTTTTTGCCCGCCCGCACTACGGTGATCTCTCGCCTTTATGGCATTTCTGTACTGTACGGGCGACTAAGTGTGCCATCGGAACATAATTCTCTCATTGAATGGAGGGCATGGGTATATGTGGTGTGACCTCGAGCGGCGGCTTCCGAGTCCGACGGGGACCACAGGAAGTCTGTGGTCGGCGGTAGTATGCGGACCGTCTAAGAAACCTTACCTATATTGAGCGAGTGATTGTATCCATCCTGGTTGCCAGCGATCACACGTTGAAGGTGTCTATTCTTCCTGTGAACTGCGGTCTTAACGCCGCGGGATAGATAATCATCCAACCAATTGAGATAAAATAATGATTTGTCTACGTCATTTTAAATACTCTGCGGCGAATTAGACCCATCATGCAGCTCCTCGGGAGTTTCCTACCGGAAGGAATATTGGAATAGTTGTAGTTTCCAGGGCATGCGTGAAGGCGTACAATGAGAGGGATAGGAAGGCGAGGTAGAATCCCACGCTTTTGCCTCCAGTGGACTGGGGCATAATAAACTCCCGATGGTTCCATATGAAGGAGGCTAGGAAATCAGAAACAAAAGGAGGGCGTGCTGGTTATACAAGTATGGATCCATAACAAAGAACGGCTTCCGCCCCCAATGTACGGAGTGACTGCAGAAAAATGGGGGCTGACTACGGCCAACTCAATGTTGGAACCGACTCTCTCCATCATACCATCTTTCTACCACCGCTTTCCTGCACTTTGGTCAACTCCAAAATGAACGCTATAGACTCTGAAAGATTTTTCTGGGGCGCTCCAACTTCGAACGCCAAGTCAGTATACCATCTTGCGCATTCTTCATTTGCTGACCTCGACAAAGCTTCTGTGAGACGGACTACGCCGTGAGCAGATACATCGCCGAGTTTGTCAACAGCTTGACAAATGTCGTCTACAGTAAGATACCGGAAAGAATGTGAAATTCTGATCTAATTGATCTTCATCAGTAATCTACGGCATCTACGGGTTACGCCACCTACGACGGAAAGCGAACAAGCATGGTGATTCTTTACGTGTCCTTCCCTACTGGGGCTTAATAGCAGTGGGTCTATGCTCGTTTGCATTCCATGTCAGCCTTAAGTATCACACTCAAATGAGTATGTTCCGCGTCTTTATCATATCAGCTACTATCTGACTCGTTTTCCCTAACTAGTGGACGACCTTTCCATGCATTTTGCCACAACCCCAGTCCTACATCGTCTTTTGACAGCCAGTTCTAATCGCCGAGACTTTATCGTCATTTCTGTAGTACTGGGTGCCATGTTAGTGTTTTTAATAACATTCCATATGATGACGGATGAGCTGGTCCTCCACTCCGTGTCATTCGTCGGTACGATAACTGTCATTGGGGTTTACACGATACGGCTCGTGAAAAGCCGGACGCCACCGGACTCAGCTGCCCGGCGAAGGATCTGGGGAATGGTTAGGTTTGGAGCAGGTCGGTTATCTAATCCTACAATAACATTCTAAACGACTAACTTGAGTTGACAGCGATTTTCAACCTTGGGTATTGGCTTTGGCTGGTTGATCAGTGGGCCTGCGGATTCTTGACAAAAGTGCGAGAAGAAATAGGTCTTCCATGGGCTTTCCTATTAGAGCTTCACGGGTGGTACGTTTCAACATTCTTACGTGTCTTTCTTCCCAATGATCTCCCAATGACACTAAACGCATTGAAATAGGTGGCATATCTGTACTGGAATAGGGGCCTATATCTTTATCGCTGTTGTAGATCACCTGGTCTCTGGTGAGGAGCTAAGGGATAACCAGCAGTCATTCGCCTGGCCTGCTTCCTGGGCGTCAAGATCAATTTTTGCAGGACGAGGACCGTCCGTGGACAAGAAGGTTAGCGAGAAACAAAAGTGAATTACAACCCATGTATGTTTTTTGAGATAGAAGAGGGTGAAGGCAGAGGCCCTCAGATGGTCTGTTATTGATTTAGAGTGTACGCATCCCTTTGTATTAGTTGTGAATCCATTCAAATCTAGTCTACGGAGTACTTTTCGAGCCAATGCTTCCGTTTGATGTGTGATCTGCCAATCGGATTGCGGAATGTGCCCGGAAAGTGGGTCTCCTAGCTGGCATAATGGGCTTATGTGCGGTCAATAGTTCGGTGGGAGAAATGAGGGAGCGGCGACCGAGTTGGGCCCGAAGGCTCGACCCCCGGCCCATCGTGGGTTGGGCTTTGGGCCTTGAAGCCTAGGCCCACCCCGGCCCAATAGAGAAAGGGAGGAAGAGCAGGGAAGACGGGTATTGAAGGGAGGCTACGAGACGGCGTATTGGTGCGCTAAACCCAAGGAGGCAAAACTAACCCGAAAAGGCAATTCACAGGTCCGCCGTTTACAAGTTTAATGGACATAAGACATAATGTGTGTTCTAAGTTTGATCAAATAACCTAAATCCATGCCTCATTATATCGTAAACATTGATATACCATTGCAATCATTTCGACTTGTGATTCTCAAGCTCTAGTGGCTTAACCGGATAAAGGTACACACGCTTCAGGATCCAGCCGAAGCAAATGACATAAAGCGCCACCGCGATGATCTCCATACGTTGTCTCACAGTGATGCGGTCTAAACTGGGATTTGGAACACCCAATACACCCGAATGTTCCTTCTCCCACCCGTCGCAGACCTGGCGGAATCGACCGGGCTCGTCGGAGATGACGCCGTCGATCTCGTGTCGAATACACCAACGCATTAGGTTCGGCGAATTCACCGTCCAGACATAGACTTTACGCCGGGCTGCGCGCCCTCATCCAAAAACCCCCGTCCTAGTGGGCCCATCAGGATATTCTGGTTGATGTTGAAGGATATAAGGGGTACTTGTAGGAATTGGCGAGCATAGCTCACGTCGACGCAGATTAGTGTCACTGCACACAGTGGCAAGTGCTTTGCTCGCGCGGGGAGGTATCGTGAAGACCAGAAGCCGAGAACGATTCGTCGCTGCCAGTCGGGGCCGCCCGCGGGTGTAGGGACTGACTCGATGGTTTTGGCAATCAGTTCCATTATGGCGAAGGGGTCATTGGCGAGCTGAGAAGTTGATTTGAATTTTAATGAGAGATGATGTGCGAATCGGGGAGAACCACCTACCTTTATGTCTAGCAACATCCAGAAATTCTCCCGACCTGGTTGTCTCAGGTATTCCAACACATCGGCCAACCGGGGCATCGGTTCATGGGGAGCTTGTATAGTTCGCAGAGTTTTTAAATACTCCCAGTCGCACTCGCTGACCTTCTTCTTGATACCGTAGCAGCGCATGAGGCTTGCATCCTTGGATCGATGAGCGTAGTCCTAGATCGGGTGTATGCACCTACGTGTGATAACACCACGATTCCATCGCGGGAAATATGAAGGTCAAGCTCGAGGGCTTGAGCTCCTGCCCGAATTGCGCCATCGATTGACAATATAGTGTTCTCGGGATATTGGCCCTTGAATCCCCGATGGGCGATTGGCTTGAGGCAAACGCGGGCAGGCGTGGGCAACCGGTGATCGGTGGAAATGAGCTTGCGAGGACGAGTTAACTTGATAACACCGATACGGAGAGTTACACACCTGGAATTTCATGCAAATGATCTTGCGAAACTATAGATGATGGGTCGCCCATTTTGAAAAGAGTTGTGAGTGTTGAAGAAGAGGTGCCATCGGAGTTTGGCGGAGATAGACCCCGCTGCACGGTCTAATGTGGACTCAGGTGCTCACAGTTGCTTTCCAGACTTTCTATTCTCGTGCGGAAAAAGGCCAAAAGATCGGGATCAGCACTTAAAGATCTCTGTCTGGTCTTCAACCACCAGAAAGAAAGCAGCCCTGGAGTTTTAGAGAGGAGGCTGGTCGAACACCTCGATTACTCATCACTAGTGAGGTGGATCCGTCTCCAATTTCCCCATGTTGATTTATAGCCTCCATTTCCCAAGTTGTTGTGCTCATTAAATTGCATCTGTTCTGCAACTAAGCTGGTGAAAAATGGCCGTTCAGCAATGGATCACGCCCTTGAAGGGAATTGACAGCCTTAGCCGGACCGAAGCTCCCGTTCCCGTACCAGGGCCGAGCGAAGTCTTGGTAGAGATCCGTGCTGTCTCTCTGAACTACCGCGACGTGGAAGGTAAGTCGCCCACCAAGAATAAACCTATAGGACATATGCTGACCAAGTCTTTCAAAGTGACCAACGGCGAGTATAAGCATCACAGAACAGCCAACCAGGATGCCACCATCGTACCCTGCTCGGACATGTGTGGGGTAGTTACACAGGTTGGATCTGGCGTGAGCAAGTGGACAGTCGGCGACCGGGTGCTTTCGACTTTCCTGCCAGATCATCAGACTGGTCAGGTGACCGAGAAGGAGCTTGCCAGGAGCCTGGGGCTGCCGCAGAATGGTGTCCTTGCAACTCACCGCGTGTTCCCTGATTACGGCCTGGTGAAAGCGCCTAGCTTCATGTCAGATGAGGAGGCGGCTACTCTTCCCATCGCTTCAGTCACAGCATGGATGTCTATAAATGGTTTGCGAACGATGGGGCAGAGTGGCGGGAAGGATGAATATATTTTACTCCAGGGAACCGGTGGTGTGGCTATTGCCGGACTACAGATTGCGAAGGCCGCTGGCGCGAAGGGTGGGCAATGGGATTATTACCGCTTATAAGACCTAATCGCTGATCTTGCAAACAGTTATTATCACCTCCTCGTCTGATGCTAAATTGGAGCAGGCTAAAGAGCTAGGCGCCGATTTTACCATCAACTACCGCACCAACCCCAACTGGGAAATCGAAGTGATGAAGGTGACTGAGAACCACGGTGCTGATATCATCTTGGAAGTTGGTGGTGCTAAAACCTTGCGGAAGAGCTTTGATTGCATCGCTTTTGGGGGTTTGATCGACTGCATTGGCTATGTCTCAGGCAAGATAGATGCCGATGAGGACCGCCTGAACGTCAATCTGCTGGCTCTTCGTCGGACGGTCACCCTCAAAGGAATTATCAACGGCCCGAAGGATCGGTTTGAAGAGATGATCCGGTTCTACGAAGAAAATCAGATTCACCCAGTAGTTAACCGGGTCTTTTCATTTGCCGACTCCAAGGAAGCATTCAGATTTCTGGAAAGCGGGAGCCACTTTGGCAAGGTAGTTATCAAAGTTCAATAGAGCCCTAGGGCTCTAATGGTGTCGAATCTCATTGTCGAATTATCATTCACTCCTGATTGCCACTTGGCTTCATTATCCCAGCGCCAATTCCCAGATCTTCTCCCATTTCCTTCCCAGCCACCGTCAATTTCTTGCAATCCTGCAGCACGAACAGGAGACGGGCCCATTCTGTCCCGCTGGTATTGCGCCATCCATGCATTGTAGCCCGCTGCACAGCAACATCGCCTCTGTTCATGATGACTGGCTCGCTATCTTCCAAAATCATTTCAACCTGCCCCTCAAGTACCACGCCGTAGTCGAGGCTCTGCGTCCGGTGAACCACGGCAGGGTTGTTGGGCGCGAAGTCCACAATGCGGCATACGGTTCCACCAGGGTTAACGAGTCCCAGCTGGTCGGATTTTGTCAATGTCTCGTGGGCCTTGAAGTCCGCGTCATTGTTGAGATCCGGATGGAACTGGTTCGTATAAACAACGTTGAATGCCATCTTGCCTTTTTCAAGTGATACCCATTCAGCCGGTGTTGACGAATGTATCACTGCCTTTCCGTTCTCGTTGTGACCTGTGATATGCCGAGTGACTACCCGCAAAGGCGACACTTCACTGGGATTGGAAGCCATTGTTTATAGGACACGAAGTGGGAATGGAGGTATGAAGGTGTTGAAATCAATCAATGTGCGGAATACAATGTGTGCCCTCGGATGATTATATACTCTCACTCCACGTGACGCGGGGCGGTGCATGTCAGCTTGAACAGCGGTGAGCTGGATGGAACCGCAATTGCTTACGAGTATCCCTGGTTCGATGTGGGCGTGTTCGAAAGCGACCATCACGTCAACCTGATTAGAAGATTGTCAGTTCGGTTGCCACTTTCGGCGCTGACTGCGATCCCATAGCTCAGATCGGGCGCACAAAAGAAAAATCCAAGAGACAAATGTTGCAGACGAGTTCAACTACATCGATATAAGCCAGGAACCCTCTCGGGGTAGCTTCAGCATTCCTTTCTACCTTGGTCCACACTTAGGACTACCAGCACCACCTTAATTCGCACGCGAGTCCCATCTCCAGGGCTGGGTATTCAGAGGATTGTGATGATCCCAAGGGAGTACCCCTTGCTTTTGGAGGTTCGATTGCTCTATGCCGAGTCCTTGCCGACTCTGACACAAATTCGGCCGACGAGAATCCCTCGATGATATGTCCAACGCGGTATTTCGACGAGTCATGCACATATAGACAATCGCCAGGGAGTCTGGCTCCGCCTTTAAGCATGCCTCGGTTTGACCGTAACCTCAGCAACTTCATAGAAGCATAGACGCCTCATACTCGAGATGACGACACACCACGCTCGTTCCAGCGCGCTGCTCGTGATCCCGCCAAGTACCATCAGCAGAGCGCCGGGATGCCGAGGAATGCCTCGCAATGCTTAGATTAAGGAGTCGGTTCCGATTTGAGCGGTGGAGAGTTTATGTGAACCAATAGCTTGATGCAATCTAATCTAACACGAGGAGAATAGTGAGTTGATACACCAGAGTTGGGGGGGGGGGGGGGTGGGGGGCGTGGGGGTTCTTGGGACGACGGAGGTTATGGTTATCTTGGAATCAGATATGGATGGATGTAGGTAGCCCTAATATGAAGTACACTGCATGTGTCAGCGCGATTAGGAAACATGAGGCTTATGGACAGATGTATATTCATTTCGCCTAACTAGATACAGATGTGATGTTTCAACCTTGCTTTTACAAAAACCATCGGAACTCAGCAGATGCTGGCCCATCTCTCATTCGCTCCGTTGGAATATCCCGTGCCCGGATCGTGGTTCCATCACGACGGTCACGTCGCTTGTTATCCAGCCACATGTAGAGTGCCAGAGAAGCCGTCAAGAACGCGCCAGTAGCACCGAACGCACCAACACTGATTAGTGCGGGCGTATACTTAGGCGCATCCTGCTTCCGGAACAAGTTACTGCTCACTAAGCCCATCAAGTTGGCCAATGGCACGCCGATACTCGTCAACAGTACACGGCGACCCTCGTGGGCGATGTTGTTATTATACCAGGTGCTGAGAATCACAGATGGGGCGGACGTTCCCCAAGTCATCATGAAGGTTGCGAAGTAAGCGACGTGTATGTTTGCTGGGACATCGTCAATGGATGCGTAGATCATGAACCCGGAGAAAGTGAGCAGGAAGCCCAGAACAATGAATGGCGATCGGAGTCTGGTCCAGTCAGAGGAGAAACCGAGCACCAGCAACATCACTGCTCCTGTCACATTTGGTGCAACGGTGTACAGATTGGTTTTGACGGTGGGAAAGCCCAATCCCGCGATGATCTGTGGCATGAAGAGCGCGACACCCTGCAAAGGCACACCGAGACAGATTTCAATACACAAGAAGGCGTATGTAGTGGGGCTCTTGAAGATACCGAGGGCCTCGCGGAAGCTAAACTCCTCGTTGACCACTGCACTGGAGTCGACTTGAATTCGGTGGAAAGCTAGCGCCTTCTCCTCCTCGGACAAAAAGTTCGCCTCGGCGGCGCTCCGTGGGAGATAGAAGAAGGCAAATGTAGCGAAGAGAACAGTGACGCCGCCCTCAATGATAAACAAATAGCGCCAATTGGGGATATGAGATCCCTTGATCTGGAATACTCCAAACGCAATAAGTCCGGAGAAAGCGTTTGCAATGTTCGACGCAGCGTAGAAAACAGCCAGGCGACGAGCCAGCTCACCACGACGGTAGAATGTGGTCAAGTAATAGATCACCAGCGGGAAGAATGCAGCCTCGGACATGCCCAGGAACCAGCGCAAGGCGAACATGCCACTGAAATTGTAGGTGGCCGAAGAGAGCATCGTGAGCGAACCGAATGAGAACATCAAGATTGGAAGGACGCGGGCTGGACTGAACTTCTTTCCAAGCATCGAGAATGGCGGTGCAAAGATCACGAACGGAACGAAAAAGATGGATAACAGGAGATTGTACTGATTTGGCTTGAAGTGCAGGTCTAACGATTCGATTAGACTCAAGTTGCTGCCGCTTAGGTCCAGAATCTCACATACCCGTGCTCATTCCATCCGTTTCCGCATTTCCCAGATTTCCCTTGTCGAGGGCGTTGAATAGATCTGTCGCTGGTCAGTTTTGCATGAATGACAAGATTGGGGTCGACTTACACATGATTGCTAGGATAGGGAGAAGGCGATAGTCAAACTTCCGACAGAGACGCCGTTCAGCCTTGTGGTCGACGACTCGGGTCACCTCTTCCATGACACCCGGGACCGAGCCATAGTCTTTCAACGTGTTGGGCTCCTCGATAGTGGCCATGGTTTCCGTTTTCTTCGCTGTGCCATCAGGCGACGATGCGCGTGCTGGGCTCGACATACTGTATCCAAGGCGTTATAGACGAAGAAACATAGAAAGTCCAAGTCAGCGCACCGCCTGTCAGTTATAAA